GGCTGGCATAGCCTGTCCCTTGGAGGAGCAAAGATTTGGAGGCCAGAGCTTTAGTGGGGACCTTACCACCCTATCTTTGTTTTTTTTTTTTTTTAATCTACCTGCAGCTTCATCAAAGCAAGGGGCCACTTTTACTTGTGGCACAGTGACAGCTTAACCTGTGGTGCCAGTTGTTAGTTTGGCATCTTTGCTTCTGTTGTAAACCACGTATCTCTGCTTCCAGTCCCTTACTCAGATCAGCTGCTGATTCCATAACCCAGCCAACGCCTTATCATCTTGTTCATTTTTCCTGAGCCTTAGATTTCTCTACCTTGTGCTGTCTTACTCCCTTTCACCTAGCAGAAAATGTATTAGGAGACAACAGAACCCAAATTTACCAAGATACAGAAAAAGCACTTCATTATTTATTGCTACAAGCACAAAGATATTATTAATTACATTCAGTCCTATCAGGTTTTATATCTGTACTGGGCTGCTGCACGAGGGTTCTCAAGGCTGGAAACCACTCTGTGCTTCTAGCAGCCTTCGTGTAGCTGCTCTGAAGCCACCTGGGGTGCATCCACATGAGCTTCCCCAGCAGATGCAGAGCCGTCCCTCAGTCCCAGAGCTACCCCTGGGGTAAAACAGCTACAGTACACTTCTTATTTGATGCTAAGCTGGCTGTTAATTCTTAAAGGCTTTGTAATGCAACTGTAGAAAAAGTGAGAGCGACGGGGTTATTGTTGCCGTTTCATTTGCTCTAAGGCCATTCCCCCTTCCCTGTGATCTTGTGCCCATGGTAACACACTGTAAAACGCCATCCTGTGAAAAACAGCTGATTGTGAGTACTGCCTGACAGCTACAAGGAGCCATGAAAGCTAATAAAAATGATTCACGTTCACACTCTCCTCTCTTCAAACCAGCTGTTTAAAAGAAAAAGGGGGCCAAATTGAAAATGAGCATTAGCGGTTACAACCCGAGCGAAGTCAATAAAGTCGCACTGAGGAGGAACGGGTCTCCATTTGATTTCAGCTCTTGCAGCGTGGGGGAAGCAGAGGGTGCAGCGGCATTATCATAACTTTTCATTAATCTCCGTGGGCAACCCGTTCAGCTAACGAGGCACACACGCCAGCAGAATGCCAGGCTGGCGCTAACCTGCAGAAGGCACCGAGGAAGACGTTGCCTTCCGAAGGGTCTGCGAGCGGCGGGGTTGCTGCTGCCCTGGTGGGAGCAGGAGGGGAGCAAATGTGCCGTCCCACGGCCCTGCACGATGGGGAGGGACGGGAAATCCTCCCCGGGGCGAGCTGTGGGCAAATGGGCTTGCTGAGCTCTTCTAGCAGGGGGCTGGAGGGGAGCCAGCTGCAACTGGAGAGACAATTAAGAGCAATAACACACTGCTCGGGTGAAATTAGTGTGTGCTTCCTCTCAGGGAGCAATATCTCTATGAACAGCTTCAGCCAGGCAGAACAAATATTTTTTTTTTTTCTGTCTGGAGGAAGGGGCTACCGGGGACTGGAGGTAAAATAGTGTTTCAGCCTGTGAACCTCTTAGTGAGTTTGGGTTGGTATAATTCATCTGTATTAGACAGCTAAAATGATGTGGGTATTGTTTTTCTTTTCCTCTAGAGAAATACACAACATGTTAACCTGATCCATTTACAAATAGAGCAGCTAAATAGGAAAACAGGGAAAGCTTGGGACAATCTAAGCTGGCATGTGGTACAGTTAGTGTTTACAACACTCATTAGGAAGGTAAATGATGCCTAAAACTGTTTTCAGGAGACTTATCAGAGAAGATTTTTTCAGTGTGGACTATATCAAAATAGAACTTAACAGTACAAAAGAACTCTGTTAAATGATACCATAGCAGAATGAAAACTGTTTAGAGCTGACTCACAAAAATAAAGTGAATATTTTACAGGTGCTTTTTATCATGAATGCTTACCAAATACGAGGTTAAATGATGAATTACGTTTTTTTGTGTATGTGTATGATAAACCATCTGTAAAAGTAAAATTGTGTGAATATTAATAAATATGCAGTGAATAGTATCGTAATTCAGGCTATATTGATAATATTAATGTGAATAATAATGTAGATATGTTTATTATGATTAACAGAACTGTGTTCAGGTTGTTGCATTTTCCATCCAAACCAAATTAACTTTCTAAAATAGTTGAAGATGAACATTAAATACACAGAAATTATCAGTGAATAAGCTCCTCTAAAACCCTCTTAATTCCTATGTCAGATCCAGTATGCTTACTGTAAATAAGTCTTGAGAATTAAACGTTATTGACAGTTATGGACATACAATACCCAAAGGGGGAAGAATCTGATATTAGTAACAATGAGTAATACCAAGCAACTTCCACTGAGCACAAGATTAAATAAGGCTCATGAACTGCAGTGAAGGCACATATATGTATAAAGAGAGAACATGAGAGCAGCTTTACCAGAGATTGAGCCCACAAGGACACTGTTTTTCAAGTTCTTGAGAAAATAAGTTTGGCTGACTTAAAGACATATCTTAAAATAATTAACTATAAATGAGCTGCTGTAACACTATTGGAGAGTAGAGAGAGTCCAGCTTATCTCTTCAAGGCATAGACAAAGAAAAAATAAAAATAAAAAGATGAAATAATTAAACAAATTTTGTTTACACCAAAGCTTAAACACAGATGGCTTGGGGGTTTTTGTTTAGTTTTTTTTTTTTTTTTCCCCTCTCTTACATTTATTCTCTGAGAGCAACTCAAATAATTGTATTTCTTAATTTCCATAAGACCTGCTCCTGTAAACATTAAAAGTCTGTAGAAACAGAGCTAGCTTCTTTCCAAAATATTCAGTGAGGAAGCTCGCATTTTCTCCAAACAACAAGGAACCTCTTCCCTGACTACAGTTTTTACATATAAGCAGAGATCCAAGAAGGGTGATTAATGTTTGACAATGTAGATGCACAAGATAGAGGTCCATCCTGAAGATGCATGGCCCAAGCCCTTTCAGCACACACCTTCAGGCCCCATTGGCATCATCCAGTTGGGCGAAACTGGAACATACTGAAGAAGAGACGATTAACTCAGAAGATGAAAGAGCAGAGTTTTGAGGAACTGATAAAGATAATAGGAAATTTTGAGCTTTGTTTCACTAGAAACAAGTTCTTATAATCTATCAGCATCTAAACATAATCTATAATCTATCCATCCAAACATAGATGGACAAAGACAAGGTTGTGCAGTGTACTGGATTCCTTTCTGTTCAGTAAAGATATTCTCACAATACTTTTAATTTTCTACATGAATATTACTAAACTTTGAGTTTGGTACAAAGAACAAGGAATTTTACAGTTTATTCTGGGAACTGCAATTCTCATCATGAAGTTATTAGTAAGAAGGAATTGTGATGGAACAACAAGATTATAATCATAACTTGTTCTTACCAGTTAAAAATTATATTCACGTGATCTCTGTTTTGCTGTAACTGGGAGCTATTTTATAACTTGGGAAATTTTAAATAATGGAGCTAAAAAGGAAATTACTGGACATTTCTGTGAGCAGTAAGCTTCCCAGCAATTCGGAGAGAATGTCATAATCAACAGGTTCATGTATTTCAAAATGCTGTGTTCATCTGACAGTTCTTTCAATCATTTTCAGTAAAATACATCTGGAGCCATTGTGTAATCCCCCCCACACCTGTAAATTATAATGTGGAATGTCATGATTTATTTTATAGCATAAAAGCTGTTAAATGAATACTGACAGCACCATTAGTGTTCTGATCTTGAACTGAAGTGCAAGCTCTGCTTGAGCCATCATTCTCATGAGCCACAGATAAATGTGCAGTTGAAAAGGGTGCCGTAGGTTAATCAGAGCTGAATTAGTGAAGAAACATTAGTAAAGAAGTGAGCAATTCAGGAAATAACATGCTGAATCTCTAACATAATTTCTGTAAGCAGTCAGCGCCAAAGACTCTAGAATACTAAAACATGGGCCGAACACTTGACTAATTCTGAATCAACTAAGAGATATAAATAGCATTTCAGCAGCTGAATCTTGTGCTCTGACTGATCCCACCTACACCCTGTACCTTGTTCCCATTCTCAGCAAGAAGAACTCAAGTGGGGTCCATACCCCTTGGACTCCTCTCTGATCGCTGCCTTCTGAGAAGAGTCCTGGTGAAAAGTAGAGATAACCAAATTAAATTGGCTGATAGTGCTCTTAATTTATCCCACAAAAAAATCTTCAATTACTGTTGTTCTGCCCTAAACCCCAGATTCCTTGATATCAGCTTCTAGAGGACAAAATGAATCCTTCTGCTTGCACTTCAATAAGATGTTTAATTTGTATTCTTAACCTTTTCCAAACAAATGGTGATTTGTGACTGTTTCAAGTATAAAATTTCCCTTTTCTGAAAATCATATTCTGTCTCATTTTTTCCCTAATTCATTGCTCCCCATTTTGTTGTTGTTCTACACAGTTAAACCAATTATTTTTTCTCTAATCATATAGATACTACATATTGTCCTTTTCTCTCCCAGTACAGCTGTCATCCAAAGTTTAGACATTATTTGTACCTCTACTTGCATTTTTATCTGAGCTATTTAGCTCAATCTATTTGCCTATCTGAAGGCATCAGCAAGATTCAAACTAAAACATAAACATAAACTACTCAACTTCCCAAACCGGTTGCTTTGTTTGTTCTTAAGTCATACATAATAAATTACAGCTTCCGTGAGAATCTCCAAATTCAGCAAGTGTAGTTTGTGTATGGCCATTTACTAACATTTTTACCTTAGGTAAACCCAGAACACCCCAAAAGGAGAATACTTTTTTTTTTTTTTTTTCCCCAATGAAGTTAAATCAAATTTACCTTCCTTTCTTCCTGTTACTTACAAAAGTATATTTCAGTAATTATAAAATAATATACTTAGGCTGAGATAACTGTTGAATAAAAACATTATGTGTTTTTTATTTATGTGCTGGGGTAATTTCTCATTCCAGATGAAATGCTTCTTTTCTCATTTAGAACTCCAAATGGGACGCTGATTAACGGAACAAGATGGCCAGTCTTCACTAGTACTGAACAAAAATATTTGACATTAAATACCAACACTTCAGAGATACTGACAAAGTTACGTGCTCAGCAGTGTCGATTCTGGAATATTTTTTTTCCCAAAGTCCTGGAAATGACAGGTAAAAATTGTTTTCAAGATGCTTTTGTATAACTTTTATATAAGGATCATTTGCTTGAGACTGACATGATACTCAAGTATCATTTAAACTCAAATTTAAATCTTTACTTTCCTATTTACAGCTGAATTTGCAGGAGAAGTTCAGATGTTGGACAAAGCTGTCCAGGCTGTGCCAGGGGTGTACCCCATAATGTGTCCTACACTTCTGGCCATGGGCTCACCACCCTGTAACAGTGTCTTAGGGCAAAACCCAGGGACAGGCCAAGGCCCAGGATTTACGGGGTGTGGAGCTTCTCGGCCCCAGAGTGCAGATACAGCCACAATGCATTTTAGGGTGCTTAACGAGACATTTTGAGGTGCTGCAGACCTCTTCTCTGAAGCTGCCCCTTGCGAGGGTCTTGGCACTGCCTGGCTCTGGGGTCCTGGGGTGCAGGAGAGATGTTGCTAAAGGGGGAGCTGGCACAGGGTTTTCTGGAGGATTTAGATGTTCCATACTAACTTCATGTATCTAAGGTACATTGTGAGATGTCATATTGAGATTATATTGTCTATTATTTATGGGATTATATTATTATGCAACTAATCCACAGAGGATATGAAGTGCATTGCTATTGCCAAGATGGGCAGCATCTGTTCTACATTGCACATGGGAAAGTCTTGTGGTTTATTTCTAGTGTTAGCCATTGATGACAACCCAGACAGTTCAGGATTTGCCTATGCAAAATATAACTGATTTTCCCCTGACCATGTGTACTATAAATTTATGAGATTACACTACCTAGAAAAGTATAATGAGCTGCTTAAAACTTTAAGATCAGTTGAACACAAAGCACTCGGACTATCTTTAGAAGCCTGATGCCACTGTTGTTGCAAAGCCCACCAGACAGACCAAGCCTCTGTGCCTCTGGACAATGAAAGGAATTGGTTTTATAAAGTGATTTTGCAGCTCTAGAAACACATTCTGCAGTTTGTCTGAAGCAAGGAGGGGAAGTCTCATTTCAAAAATAAGATACACTTTTAAAATGTTAATTAGCAATTTACAAGCTTTCTGCAAGATTCAGTTTGAATGTTAGTCTTAAAAATATGTAAACTTCCATGATGCACAGATGATTCTTTCTGAAATAATTTATTCCTTCCTCACTTGAGACTATAACTGTAATATGGCTCAACTTTTATCCCCTCTCAATTCAATAGATGTTTTCCAATTAAATCAAGAGAAGCAAAATCAGTAGGTAAATGAATAATTTATAAAGCATACTCTGCGATTTTAAAATCACAGTATACCAAATTACGGATGGATTTTAAGGAGGTTTCAAAAATTCTGACAAGCCCTTTATGCTGAGCCAGGGGAACTGAACTATTTTACATATTTCTTTAACCTGGCTGTGAACCCCTATGGAGTAATGTGCATCTTACAAATGGACTGTGCACAACCAAATGTTCTGTGGCAGAGCAGAAGAGAGCACATCACCAGACATAGCTCAACACATCTTGGGAGGACAGCAGAATTGCTTTGCGTGGTCCTAGGATAAAAGTCATGACAAAATAATGCTCTGGATCTGCCAGGAGACATAAATATATGGCTTTGTCATGTTCAGTAATTTAAAACATAAATCTTTGTAATTCAATATAAAAGAATCTGAGAATATTCTTAGCAAAAAGTAAAGAATCATCATGCCTGGATCCCTGGATCCTAATATAGAAATGAGACAAGAATATTGTCAAGAAGTAGTGCTGCTTTGCCATGTATGTACATCTATCAGTCCTTGAAATACTGTAACAGAAATACTGTTTATATATTTATTTTCCCTATACAACCTTATACAATTCTGACAAATCTTTAAGATTCTGTTTACAAACATGAAATAATACTTTATGTTATAATAGTTCTCTTCACTGAAATATTATTTTCCATTTCTATCTCCTTTTATACCTAAAGGACAGTGCATGCCATAAATACACCTATTTCCTCATTTTCTGAAGGTCTACCTTTTCTATTATTCCTTTTATTGAAATATTATTATAAAAAGAAAGTTGCTTTAACATGATATGTTATAAGATGACAGAGAACAAGAAGTAAGGATTTTTTAATATGCTACCATTATTGCAAGATGCAGTTCAAGCTGAATTATGTCAGGTAGAACCTTAAGAGGACAATCAAACCAACTTATTTTGCAAAAACTGCAGGGGAATTTCTCATTGTGCTAAGTGGTCAGAATTTGACATGGATGTGCTTGGTAACAAACCACTTGTTTAGTTACTGATCCACTCCTAGCACAAGCCTTGCTATCCCCCTGAGCTTTTCTGGACATGTCATGGCCAGCTCCAGAGGTGTTCATCATCTGAGCCAGCCTGTTTCCATGACAGGCCGGGTGAGATAGGTTCCTTGAGGCAATTACATATGGGAGAGAGGAAAAATGTTATTCCCTACCGTGTTTATGGTTAGATATTTTCCATTTTCTTCAAGCAACAAAATCTAATATATTAAAAAAAAAATGTCATGGATTGAGAAAACTAATAAGAAAAAAAGTAAACATCACACACTAACATAACAGTAATAACCATATATAAAATACTGGCCTTCATATCTCAGGTATTTTGGATGATTTTGTAAGATTTCTCAATGTTTTCCACTTCAATTTCAATATATAAAAGTATCATTGAAGACATAGGTCAAAACTTGTAGTTTTGTGTCTAGCTTAATAATAATCACTAGCCAGGTAAACTGGACCTAGACATGCCTTATGTGGGCTCTCAAATCCAACTAGACACAATTTCTACACAGATTTTAACCCTATTGTGAAAGCACTGAGAATACTCTCTGTTCCAACTCACCCTAAGCAAGATGGGAGCACTCAGCATTTAATATTTCATTTGAGGGTGTGAGTGCTGGGACAATAACCAAAACTTTTTCTGATGACTGCTTCTTGAAGAAACACACTGGAGGGACAGTAAACAGTAAGTGACTCTTAAGTAGCTTTTAGAGCAATCATATGTTAATTATAAAAGCATCTATGTTAGACTCTACCTCCTTAACATAATCTTTAATGCATCTAGAGCCCTAACTATTTATATGTGCCTGTTTTCTCTTGATTATAGAAGGCTGCAGGCAGCCAAGCTTTCCATTTGTGTTCCATTATTATTTTAGTGTGCCTAATACATATTTTTCTATTTTATTTGATATTACTGCATCATATATCATCTATAGAGAGACCAAAGATCAAAGTAAGTAATGTAAATACATTGCATTTTAAAGCAGCCCTAAAAAGATTTTGAGTGTGGAGACAGAGAGAAATTCAACCTCTTGATCAGTGAATAACCAAAATAATTGTATTTGCTATGATCCTCTAAATAGTATCTGGGTTCTGTAGAGCTAAATACTCAGGGCAGTAAGAATATTAAAAATGTGACTAATTAGAAAATTCAACATTGAAATTAGTTTTCAAATTCCATAGGGCTAGATGCTGCATTCATTACACATGCAGAAAAGTGAACTAGTCAGAAGTAACCTCCTCAATACTACTGCACCTACCAACACAGTTTGGTTGTACTCGGTGCACCTATGGACAATAAGCTATGTACCTTAACAATTTGATTTCTTTCTAACTCCAGTAAGTACCTTACATCCCAAGTCATAGAAGAGATAACAGCCCTTACAATATTTCAACTCCCAGAGAGCTCTATTGACTTTTGGAAGAAGAAAACTTAAAAAAACCCATAAATCTGAAGTCCTTAAAAATACATATGAAAACAAATATAGTGTTGTGATTAAAAAAGCATTGATATTCAGAGTGTGTGACAAAAGAACATTGACTAGAGATACTGAAGTATACATACTATTTGTTTTCTTCTTTCTGAACATTTGTGTACAAAGTATCACCATAATAATCTACAGCATAGATAAACTTGTAGCATTTATCATACTAATGAATCAAGAAGTTTGCAGGTACTTGCATTTATGAGCTGTTGAGGACAGAAAAATTAATTCTAACCTGTCATCCCTTATTAATTATACTATATCAGTATAGCTATATGGCTTTTTTCCCAATCTTAATGTTAATACCACAAAAATACATTTAAGATTAGCACTTTATTGGCACATCTAGCAGTTCAAATGATGGTATGGAGATAAATTTAACTTTGTTGTAATGCCATTAAATTAAGGGCTGTACGTCTGTGTGTAAAGAAAAGAAATGCCAGCTGTCTGCACTGACACTGCTGAAGAATAAAAAAAAAAAAAAATAACCACACTTTAATTTTTTTGGTCTGTTAAACTGGGACCTTTCAGAGCACTGAGGTATGATTCATTGCCTACCGAAATCTCCACTTTTCTCCTTGTAAACTTCACTGGGCTTTGCATTAGGCTAATTGGCATTGATATAAAGTTTGGGATTGCCTACATTACTACATATAGCAAAATACGTCATCATATTATTAGCCAACTTCCACAGTACTGCAGTTCATTGTAGTAACCCAGTGCTCTGAGCTGTAATTATTGGTCAAACTGAATTCTCCAATTTTTTTTTTTTTTTTTTGCCTTCTAGCTGTCAGCTCATCTAAGTCATGGGTGGTTGCTTCAAAGAGATTGATGATGTTGGTGATAATGGGATGCATTGACTTGTGACTTCAATTTGGATCTTATCACTGAAAAATAGCAAACAAATGGGAATCCAAGTTCTTATTTCAGTGTTTTCTTTCCCTCTTTTGTCTTTGAGATTCATAATGGTGGCTACTCTGAATTTCTTGCTGTCTGCTTTCTCTAGCTGACTCACTTCACTGATCTTTAAGAAGCACTGAAATGCCTCATAATTTACACTCTAGAAGAGTGACTTTTAATTGAAGATGTGTGTATGGTAGAGCTATTCCAGTTTCTAAAGTCTTTGGGCAGACTTCAAACACATTATAACCTGAATAATTAAATAAGGAACAGATTTTTCTTAATTCATAAGTGGAGGCTTTGCCTGGCTAAATAAAACTGGATACCCATAACCAAGAATAAGACAAGAAATACAGTTGAAGCATTTTTCACCAAATAATACTAGTACTGGTTCATACACTAAATTACCAAACTATTTGACATATGTGGAAAATCTGGCTTTACCTGAGACCCTAGCTACATCTTTAAATTAAGAAACACACAAAGATGAGTTCTTTGAGTCAGGAAAGTAAAATGTTGTGCATATATTCTCCCCATGGTTCTGCGAGTCATATCTGCATATCTAAGTTATCAAACAAAGTTTTATTGTTACCAGCAGTTACAAATGCTCTTTGAGTTAATGACAACTGTGGCTTGCACAAAAAAATTTAAAATGTTCTGAACTTTTCTTTGATCTCCGATATAAGCAAGCTTATTTACATCTTTGAACCGAGAGAGAGATTTGTAGTTAATTTCTTAAAATATTTTTTCCTATATTTGTTCTTCATATTTTCCCTTTTGACTACAAGCAGAAGTCCAGAACCTCCCCAAGAAAAAGTATTTTGGTTTTATTTCTGGTCTCACTGAAACCAAGAAGTAATGTAAATCTCATTTCAAACTCATTAAATTGCCATCTGGATTTCCAGACCAAAAAGGTTTGGAAATATTGAGCTAAACTGCAGATAAGCAACCAAATTACTGGCTGCTTCTCCAAACTAAATCTCTGAATCTGTTAACTCTCTTTTCAGAATATTTTCTCTATTGATGTGTAAAACATGAAAGTATTTCATTTTCACATAACCAGTTAAACTTGCAGTGCTGGCAGATCATCAAAAAGGGGGAAAGGGTGTATTTATGGAGGGAAAGGGCCTATGGTCTACTGCAGCATAAGATCATAAAGTCAAAGGAGCATAAAGAAACCATGGAACTTATCTCACAAACATGATTACCAAATTTTTCTGGAAGCAAGATATGTCAATATGGGACACTGAGATAATTAAGTCCAGAACGAGTAAAGGCATTCATAGATAATAAATGGCTTCTAAACTTTAAGAAAAATTCTACAACTGATCCAAAATAAGCCACAGTATGCGTTACAGTATACATACTTTATCTTTCCTTTAGTTGTTGTATGGGTTGCTCCTGCAAGGTCACTGCATTTCTCCCTAACATTAATTACCTTTTGGGACTGGAGGAAGTGATCCCTGTCTGTAAAATACTCTGGGAACCTTGTAAAATGATATATTTTTATTACTCTTCTTATCCTCACCCTCTGCTCTGATGTCTATAACAAATTTGGCAGTAAATATTGCCTTGGGACAGAGGATTAGTTGGCAAATGCTTTATAGGCTAGAATGAAAAAGAAAAGAGAAGATGGTTTCATATTGACACAGTACACATTTTACTGTATCCTTCTCCAAACCTGTTCCCTTTGCACATTAAACTTGTGGATTTATTCCACAGTAGCGTGAAATCCTGGCTATCCATTGAAATCCATTGAAACTGATGGCAATACCATTGTTGTCTTGAACAAAGATGTGATTTCATTGTATCTTTACAAGAACCTATCTCAGTTTTCATATTGTAGTCTCCAGGAAATGCAGGTTTTACTGTAGAGTTTACTGAACCAACATAATATTTGGAGAGTTTTTATAAAAGGAGGCTTTAAATTGATGACTTTGATGGACAGAAGCAACAAGAACAAACATAAATATGTTTATTATCCTACAGTGTGCCAGAATGATATCCTTGCAGTACTTCCTTCCTGATTTAAAGATAAAGTGTTAATCACTGAATTTTCAGTCTTTCCAGATTTAAGAGACAAAAGACCATCCTATAATGTATTTGGAGCAAATGACATTGATAATCGAAATTATTTTTCAATTAGCATATAAAAAGATTCAAATTTAGATTAATGTAACCCATTTCATGTTTTACAGGAAATATTGATGAAGCAGAACGAGAGTGGAAAGCAGGATTCCATCGCTGGAACAATTACATGTCAGACTGGAAAAATCAATTTAATGATTACACTAGCAAGAAGGAGAAATGTGCAGGCTCTAATTAATATGTTTACCCTTACCAGTATGTCCGTATTACTGTTCATCAGGCAAATATACAGGTAGCTTTCTAATACATCTAGCATTAAATATATTATGCAGATTAAAGAAACATTATGGATATAATTTTGATTCCCCAGATCTTTCATTTATATTTTACCTCATATCTCAATGAACAATATAAGACAACCATACCCTTTGAAGCTTCACTGTGTTAAACAAGACTATAAAGTCTGAAGATTAATGATGTACATATTATTATAAACACTAGCTGCTTAAATTCACACTTCAAGGAAACAATGTAATCTGTTATAGAAAAATTGTTTGTTTTTTTTTTTTAATAGAAATAGCAGTGTTTTACAGTATTGCCAAGCAAAACACAATCAGTTTTGATCTTTAACTGCAATGCCACCACACTTAAACTTTGCTTCAGACATAATTTAATTGACATAAATATAAAGAGATAATAACTTTGCTGGACACACCAAATTATATTTGTTTGTTAGACCAAAAAGTTTTAAGACTGCCATTAAAGCCCGAATCATTGTTTCTTTATGGTCAAATCTGTAGGACAAAGCCATAATAGGAAGCATTCAAACTACCTTTTGAAAGCCTAAATCATTGGCACTGTGTGCAAGTGCAATGGTGAAAACAAGCCAGAAAAACTGGCACCTCTCCTTCTGCTATCCTCATTTTCCAAGGAGTAAAGACCTACAGATTAACAAAGTAATGATCTCACAGCTTTTCCTGCTCAGGCACCCACTGTATTTAACCTATAAAAGTCTCTGCTATGAACATAAACTCCAATTATGGTGGGTTTTTTTGTCCACTAAGTTGTCCCCTAGTTGAGGGACAGCCCCATGCTTACTAGAACACGTTGGATAAATTTTTATACCTGTGGAAGAGCATCAGTTTGCATGTCAGCAGGTTCATCAGCAATCAGCCATGAAAGCCCTGCTCAGCCAGCCAGCTCCTGCAGGAGAGCGGGACCTGGCCACAGAGCCCTCGCTCCTCTTGTGGAAGGATATCACCGAAGAGGGACATTGTGACCTTGGTGGGAAGGACTCAGCTCTTTGACATGGTCAAGTAATAGTTGCCATGTAAGTAGGGATCTCCTGGACCCCTTTCTACCTGCTTGAGCTGAATCTATTAGAAGATTTAAAAAAAAAAGGAAAAAAAAAAAAAAAAAAAAAAAAAAAAAGACAAAAAACACCATCAAAAAAACAACCCCCCAAAAAAATCCAAAAAACCCTTGGATAATTCTTCTTCCTACTTCTCTGCTTCCAGATGTAGATGGAAGTTGTATGCCTGAATAGCACCTTAATTGACTGCTTTTCACTGGCCCAGCTGGGAAGAATAAATGCCAAAGATTTGGTAAACATAAGGAGTAGGTAAAAGCAACAACCCATCTCATAAATAAATTATCCTGATGCTTTCTGTAAATGTAATAACATTTCAGGGCATCTATTTTCTGTTCTAGTGATTGTGAGCTCTTGCAAAATTCCTTCTTGAGTTGAGTAGACTGAAGAGGTCTAGGCAACGCACAATGTTCTTTTTCCGGCCATCAGTTTTGACCACGCAGGATCCCTACACTGAACGGATTTATTTTTGAAAAAAGGCCAAGTTATGAAAGAGATGATGGTTTATCATCTTTTCAGTTATTTCTAAGAGAATGTAATTATTTCCTGACTAAACTATGGAAAAACACCTTTTAGCACAGTATTTCCAGAGACTACAATCAAATGTCTGCAATAAAAAAACCTGGTTGGTTGAGGAAGCTGATTAAAACTTGAAATTATCTGGGATTAAAAAAGCCCTCTTTATGCAAAACTTCATGTTTATACCACAGGTAATTAACTCATTACAGACATTAGCATAGTTACTGCTATTAATAGCTGCAAAGAGAGCTGTGTCAGTCTATGGTGTATTGGGTATTTATCAGATATTCCTCAAGCCAGTGATGAGCTACTGAATAAAACACAGAAGGTTGAACTTTCTGTTCATCATTGAGCCAGTTCTGGCACTCGTTGTTTTATTTATGTGGTATGCTTCATAGACATGTTGTGTGTTGATCTGCCACAGTGAGCTTTGACAGCACCATCAACACCTAACCACATTTAAAAGAAGTATTTGTCTCTTTTGCGATCCTCTTAGTTATATTTCACTATCCGTCTAATCAGCCTAATCAATGGAGGAAAAAACCTGAGCTAATTAAAATGCACAAATAACCTTTAGGAAGGGTAGGTTGCAAAACAGTGTGTAAAATATTTTGCTGGGAAGGTGTCCTTTGTCTGTATTTGCTGTAAGCAAGGGTGGATAAGGCCTATTTGAAGACTAATATCCTTTCCACAGTATGCATACCATGCCCGTGATGTTTCTAAGAAGGAATAAGGATGGAGGGAAGAGGAAAGAAAAGCAGAATAAAATAAAGGTTAAACCACTTTTTGAAGTTTGATTTTACTGATGTTCTTGGTATGAATAAATCACTGGCTTTGTATTTTTTCATATGCTGGGAAATAATATGTCCATTTGTCATTCATTTGAAATCAATATATCATGTAGTCATATATTCATATCCCACACTTATGCAAAAATATGAAAGCCTTAAGTACTCAGATGTAAGTGGCTAAGGTAATGAAGAGTGAAAAAAGACCAGTCCCCATTGTGGGTAGTTTCAAACTAAAGGTCAAACAAACTTGTGGTGGAAATCGTTTGAGGATACTGTGTCATTGCTTAAAATAATGATTACATATTAGAAGGCTATCTCACGCAGACCTCTCTGAAGATGTAATGTTGTTAATTAATGTTTTCTTTTGGCTCAAAAGAGGCAAGAAATCAAGGTTTCTCTGTGAAAACAGAGAAAATGTGGTGATTCTTTCCTACCATTCTTGATATCCAAAGCAAGAATTCTGAATTTAGCTCCAGACTTGCTGCAATTTTATAATAAAATGAACTGCAGTGCCAAAAAAAATGTTGGCATTGAACCAGTCGTCATTAGGTTTATAAGCTAACGGCGTGTTGATTAAATTACAGATATTTCACGCATATTTTAGAGAGACCTATAAGTGGAATGAAGTCAGAAATTTCCCAGCAATTCTCTGTTTCATTAAATCCACCAGGGTACCCTGTGTAGGGCACCCGGGTCTGCATAGCTGGACCAACCCAGTTCGAAACTTTCTGGCTTTGAACAGGAACCCTTAGACCCCAATAGTTGTGTCTAGAAGAACTAAGATGCCCCCAAGGTTTCCAGGCTTCCTCACAATTGTAGATTTTACACTCGAAGCTTCGACTTCTGGGACGGGTGCTCAGGCCTTGCTGTCCTAAACCCTGGCCACCACTCTAGGTTTATCATACTGATAAAGCCAAATTTCTGTTTAAGTGGAAGCCTGGATTTTTGTTCTTGTTTGGTCACTAGAGGCTCAGGCTATTTATAGAACAGGGATTACTGCTCTGTAAACACATAGATACACATGCGCAGTTTAGATCGTCATGAATAGACAACTCCTATGTATCTCTTAATATCAAGGAGTGGAGGCAAATCTCTATCAGCTCATAGTTGGAAAGGTATCTTTGCAACATAGCAATAAAAAGGACTAGTATTCCTTATTATTTTGAGTATTGGAGAGAAATTTATTTTAGATTACGAAAAACTGATGGAACTGTCAGAAAAATGTGTATCTATTTAGGGATGTATAAGCTTAAGACGACTTCTGTAGGCCTCTTGAATGTTCCTATCCCAACAGATATCAGCAAGTGATTTGGCCCACTGTCATATGCAGATATCACATAGATTAATCCAAACATAACATTGACAGTGGAGAGATATATATCTTTGTTTCTGTCAACATCATAACGTTGTCTTCTCAGGCTTCATTATGGTTCGTGCATTTCTACTGGCTCAGCACCAGTTCTGCGACATCAGCAGCAGCTATTTAGAGGGACATAATAGTCACCGTACTTCAGTTACACCTGCAGTGTGTCCAGCTAGTAAAGAGCAGCCTGTGCTGCCACTGCCAAATGCCAGCCTGTCCACAGAGAGTTCTTGCCCTTCATTCCCCTCCAGTTAGAAAACAAACAAACAAAGAACAAAGAAACAAAAACACACAAGAAGGGGGGGGGAACCAAAAAAAAGACCATAAAATCCCCACACAAGGACTTTTGCCCCAGAACGATCAACAATTGAAGGGCTTAATACTGTACACAGACATACTAAGTATCCCAGTGCCTCTGTTCCAACAACTCCAGCCAATAAGCCTCCCACTGAATTGCAAAATAAGTTTAGGAATTTGACAGTGATTCAGAATATGGGGTGAGGAATGAGACCGTCAGGTTTGGCTCAGGCTTGGGGGCTGCTATGGAAAGTGCTAGTGCCAGCTGACTACTTTCTCACTGTCTTGTCTTTTCCAATCCGTGGAACTACGGGCATTTGCCAAAAACTCTGACTGCTCTTGGCTAGCCAGCGGGTTAAAACCAAGCACCTGTGTAACAGATATGTGCAGCTGTGTATGTTTACCATGACTGATCCATCTGTAGTATGCCCGTTGATTTACTCTGAATGGATTGAGACCAAGAATCCATTAGAAAAAGAAAGGTTCCTGGCTGAATTACAAGTATTTCTCTCTTTCTCATTGCTCTGTTTTCACTTGTCCTCATCTGTCTAGGGTTCTAGATGGGTTTTCAATTGGTAAGAGATTGCTGCTGTATGAGGGTGAAGAAACTTATTTTTTTAAAAAAATCTCTAGCAAAATAGAAAAATTGAGACTATCTGAATACTGTACCTTTGGGATCTACAAGAGGTATTTGACAACTGTGTGCAAATGGATAACATTTAACAACCTTAACTCCATTCTGTGAGCTGAGGGGAAAACTGGTTTAAAATCACATGTCTCTTAGAGAATATGAATCTGTGCACACATATATATGTTGAAATACAGATTCATCAGCAACTGTCTCTCAACAGTATGTTTCCAATCTTTGCAAGAAACATGGAGATGGAAGCTTATGTGTTACTGGTTTTGTATACTTTCAAAGTATATCTTTTTGGTCTTTATTGAATAATAAAATGGTCACAGGAGTTTCTGAAATAAATCAACACCTCAGCCAAATTAGTCATTCACAGTTAAAAGTTCAAAAGCTTTTACTCTGATTTCAATTGTTTTAGGACCAGATTTTATGAACAAACATAATTAGCCATTTTGAAATGCTTCATAAGACAAGATAATTCCTTCCTGACCCCTGTTGAAATCTTGAAGCATGAATACTGATTATCTTGTTTTAGCACGTAAACCTTCCAGCATTTTGTTGATAAACTAGATAAGTTGCACTCATAAAAACTTTAACTCATAGACTTAATGACTACAAAGCAGTGATGTGAATCTACAATTAGCGCAGGTGTGAATTTTTAAGAGGCTTTTAATTGGATAGCAGGTGAGATTAAGTAAGGCTTCTAGGCATGTTGCAAGCAGAAGTGCTGGGCTGGGGGGTGAAGGGAGGGGGTTTAATCATATAATGATTTTGGTTAGTTTGAGGAAAATTAGGAGGTAAAATGAAGCTTAATTCCATCACAGGGTCTGTTACACAAACGTGAACGATGAAAATGTTTCCTTCCTGCATCACAGCAGCTTGAGGACATGTACAGAGGCTGTGGGGGTCTGTCTTTTGGGATTTACTAAATCTGGTCATTACATATATCACCATCTTTTTGAAAATACTGACATTCTAATCAGGGAACAGGAGATAGCCAGGAAATTACTGTTGTTTTAAAACTGAAATGTATCTAGTCCCTCAAAATCCATGTATTTGCCTGGAAAAGAACATCAGCTTCTGATCTTTTCAATTCTGCTCTACTTTAATATATGCCATGGTTGCAGGAGCTAATGTTTTAGCCGCTATTAATAGAACAATGTACAAATGGTGTAGGTGGTTCTCACAGTTTGGGAGTGCTCTGGTTAATTTCTTTAATTTATAAAGTATTTATAAATCCTCAGTTATACTGGGTAGTGGTAAAAGTGTGTAGGCAGAAGGAGGTTATCTCCACACCTCTCAATCTTCCAAATTAAATTCACTCTTGCAGCATGTCTAATCACTTCAGGGTACCTCATCATCCTTCCCCTATTACAGGCGCCTATCACAGCATCATTTCTTAAAAAATAGATAAATTTCAACTGAGTTTTTAGATTTATCTTACTTCATTATCTCATATGTGAGACAATTAGTGTGTTAACCCAGAAAAAGTACCAAGAGATGTGACTGATCACTTATCAAGAATTGTTTAGAAAGTAATTCACATGGACCTCATTTAGAACTGTGAGAATCAGTTGGAATTACACATCCAAAGTGATACTTCTGAAATATTAAACTTTTCTCACTCACTAATTACAGAGCTACAGATTTTATCAATACTGCTTGCTGAAGTTACATCAGTCATTAAATAACTTTAACCATGCCTCGTTTTTCCTGACTTAAAGCAAATATACTTTTTAATTAGGAGATAGAATTGCAGAAAAATATTTCTTTGGTATCTTTCTGCATATTTTTTTATCTAGACATTCATCCCATTTTATGTTTTGTTTTCAGTGCTGTAGCGATTTGTGTAGTTACAGTTTTCCCCATCTTTGCTGTCTAAAAGAGCTTGATATTGTAGCTCTCACTGCAGGTACCATTCTGGGTGCGGTAATGATTATTACAAACCAAAACTGCAAGTGTGTATTTATGTAGACACAGTTGCCTCTATTCAGTGAGACTTTTACATTGCATCTATCTTTGGGAATGACCTCAGCACTCCCAGTTTTAGACTGCTGGGCCACTTTCAGTTAATTAAAATTTTGTCATTGCCTTAAGCAGAAGCACAAGAGCTCCTTTGATTGACATTTTCAATCTTCTCTATCATTTAGTAATCTGGGAGGTATTTACTATTTAAGAAAAAAAATCCACACTTCAGAACATACTTTTTTTTCACAGATTTCTCTTAATGACAAGCTAAATAGGAAAGTAAAGCTGTGAACAATTTGTATTTACGTATTCCTCTTTGCAGAGGAAAATCCATTACATGTTAAATAAAATACCACCAATTCATTTACTTTATATTTTACATGTTTCTATTATTTTACTAATGACTGGTCTCTGAAAAATAGAAGCAGAAGCCAAAATTTTCCCGTCAACCCCTGGCAACATACCTTCATCTCACCTGAGGGGCCTCTGATCCCTCATCAAGGTTCTCAACACAATAGTTTAATAGTACCATAAATCTGATCCACTGTAGCAGTTCCCATCCTTATCCACATTCAGCTACTGCACGTATTATTAAAAATATTAAGAACAGTATGTTCAAGAACATCTTTCTAGAGAGGGATATTGACAGCCAACCACTACAGGAGCTCCCAAGCCTGGGGCAATCTCCTGTGACTCTAGAACTGCAAAGAGGGATCTTAGTCAAAACTCAGCCTACAGGTCTCTAGTCG